TTTTCCCCAAACCGCATCTCTCTTTGATTGACTAGCTTACGTCTCACCTCTCCTTTGAAGATTTCCCAATCTGACTACATCATCTTCATCATGGGCCAGTTGTACTAAGATCCTTTGGTTGATTAGCTCTGGAGAAATCAGGAGTGTTAGAAGGGGATTCCTGCCTCAGGGGCATCTACAATTTTGTTAGTGAGGCCGATCATAGCCCTAATAATTTGAGGCAGCACAGACCATGTGCCATATGAATAGAATCCATAGTGGATATGACTGGTGTCTAGAAAACTGATGAGTCTCTTAGTGCAGATGTCAGGAAGGGCCTTGTCAAGAATATGGAACTTGAGTCAGGACTCAAAAGAAGGGCAAGGGGTGAACAGAACAGGAAAGATGTTAATACAGGAGGAATTGGATGACTAAAGAAAAAGAACTAGCCCTAACCAGTTTGGCTCAGTGAATAGAGCGTCGGCCTGCAGACTCAAGGGTCCCAGGTTCAATTCCAGTCAAGGGCATGTACCTTGGTTGCGGGCACATCCCCAGTAGGGAGTGTGCAGGAGGCAGCTGATCGATGTTTCTCTCTCATTTTCATTGATGTTTCTAACTCTATCCTTCTCCCTTCCTCTTTGTAAAAAATCAATAAAATGTAAAAAAAAGAAAAGAAAAAGAACTAGTGATGGAATGAGAGCAGGCAAGACTAGAAAATCTTTTAGAACATTGGTATAGGTTACATTCAGATTATGATGGCCCTGGAAAGTCTGAGTGACATTCTTGAGAGCAGGAACCATAGATTCTACATCTTTGTTCTCACGGCCTGGCACAGTTCTTTGCTCTGAATGCTTTCTTTTGATAAGATTAAGGGGACATCTATTATGCTTAATTGGATTTACTTGGACCTTTTCTTATAATAGAGACCATAAAATTTAGAATTTGATTCTGTAAGTTCTTATTGTTTAATCAATTCCTTCTGGAAAGAGATGAGTTTACTCACCAGGGACTTCCTTGGGTATTGGAGAAGAAATATCTGAATAGTAAAAAGGACAGATGAATTAACCACCCATTAAATAATCCACAGCGCCCAGCAGGTCTTCAACAGACACTATCTCTGTGCTGTGGGAGTTAGTGCTCGTGCTTCCACTCACAGTTATGCTCAGTTGTTGAACAAGTACACCTGGTATAACCCTAACACATGCATTTGGTGTACGCATCTGTCCTTGTAGCATCATGACAATGCACTCTCAGAGTGAGGGCTGATGTTCAATTTGTTTTCTAGTGGTGGGGATGGGTTTGCCCTCTCTCTAGGTCCTCTCTCCAGCCTTTCTTATGTACAGCTTTAATCTGGAATCCCAGGTTAAGAATGAGTCATCAGCCTGAGAAGAGGGACCTTACCATCTAGGACCATGGTCCATTTAGCATCACGTTCACTCCAAGGACCATCTGAATGTCCTAGATGTTTGTGGGTATAGAAAGGTCTGTGGATCCTCTCTAGGCCCAAACTGAGAATCAAATTTGTTCACTTGTGCAGTTGGTGACCACTAAGAGGAGTTAACCTGCACTTGGAGCCCTGCTTCTCGGAGAAGAAAAGGAGTAAGAAGTTGAAGGATGCCCATGTGGCTCTTCCCTGTAAGTCATCCATGTGCCCTGAGCTGATGATGTATTGGAGATACTTAAAGACAAGAGTCAGGCCACTCAGCTAAGATGCCCTAATATTTGTCACAAGACAGGGCAAACTGGTGAGAGACCATCATTTGTGAAGTGCTTTTGTGAGACTCAAGACGCAAGCATCACTGGCGGCTAAAGAAGGATCAAGGGAAGGTATCTGTCAGAAGGAGAAACCCAAGCAATTTCTATCAGTTAGTGAGCTTAGGTAAGCAACGTTTCAGTGGCAGAGACCTCAAAGCCCCAAGAGAAGAGGCCCCGGAGGTCCAGGCTTTACGGACTGCCCCAGGAGAAGGCGCCACACCCACCTCAGGACATCTCGGGCCACCGTATCATTCCCACCATCTAACACACCTCCTGAAATAGCTCCTAGTCTCGGAAAAGAACATTCCCTTTGTCTCCACCTTTTCTTCCAGCTGTCCTTTTAATTAGCTGCTCCCTTTTACTTTCCAAAGAAGTATATGGAGAAGTATTTGGTAAATACTTCTTTCCACATGAAGTCCAATAACTGCAAATGGTCCCCCCTGGAGGCCCACGGGACTGCTCCCTATGGGAGGTACTGGGTGGCCTGGAAGATGGGCAGGCACCTGGATCTTGTTGCTACTTCAGTGAATCAAGTCCCAGACATGGCCATGGAGGGAAACCAGCCTCAGAACGATTCCCACTTGTAGTGGGAATCACCCCGATTTTATTTCTGTATCGGAGATTTCATTTCAGAACGTGTCCTTTACTTGGAAATAGGGGCTTTGAGGGTGTAACTAGTAAAGGGGAGACAATGGTGGATTAGGGTGGGCCCCGAATCCTACATCCAAAGACTGGGGTCCTTAAAAGAAGAGAAGATCCACAGGGAAAAAGACAGCCACGCGAACGCGGGCCAGAGAATGGGGTGATGCAGCCACAGCCAAGGAATGCCCAGGGAGGACAGGAGCTGCATAAAGACAGAAAGAGGCTGGAAGGAGCTCTTCCCTAAACCTCCAGAGAGAGCATGACCTTGCTGACACTGTGATTTCAGACTTCCAGCCTTCAGAACCAGGAGAGAATAAATCTCCTTTCAAGCCACCTAGTTTGTGGTAATGGTTATGGCTGCCCTAGGAACTAGTGCGCCTCTCAGCATCGTACGAGGGTTGTGAGAGTTTTCACAGGCTTCTCCCTCCAGAGTGGCTACTTTTCTGTCTCTTCAGTTCCTTTTCATTTCACCACAGGTTTCTCCCTGCCACACTCAGCACGACCCTCAGGTCCCCCATTTCTGGGACTGTTCCGGCTTCCACACTCCCCAGTGCAGCTCCTGGCTTCCCTGAATTCAGTGTGTGTCCATCTCACCACGGCCAGTGCCTGCACAGAGGGGCTAACAGAGTGGCTAACAGACTGCCGGACCTCAAGCGTCCCCACCTGCCACTAACCAGCTGGGACCAGAAATCTGCACTTGACCACCCCGTGCCCCAGATCCTTCACCTGTAAATCACAAATGAACACCAGCCGGGCGACCACACAGGTCACTGAGTTGAAAATGTGATAGATGAGAAAGGCCTCGTAAACCCGAAGGCTCAATTAAACCTGCAGGGAGCTAGTCCATTATTATTAGAAACCTCGCTGAAGATGAAGGACCTGGCAAATTGAAACTGCATTTCTGTTCTCACAACCCTTCCAATATCCCTCCTCTCCTCCAGGTCTTCCCCTCATGTCTGAGCCCTTTCAGGTCACTGACTTGATTCAGAGGAGGAAGGGCCATGAGGTGTGTTTAATTTGGGGGAACTGAAGTTTTTAATACAGTGATTGACAACCCCAGAACTGGTGCCATGCGTCCTGCCATGACCTGGGGAGATGAAACGTCGGGGGATGTGAAATGCTGGCTGTATTTCTTAAGTTCTTGCCTTTCCTTGAGTCTGATCTATGATGAACAGAGGTACTTAATTTCAATTTATTGGCAAACATCTCCAGAGATTTTTCCATCATGGAATATATATATATATATCTGTTGCCCTGGCTGTGTAGCTCAGCTGGTTAAAGCATCATCCCAATAGGCTAGCAGTTCTCAACCTGTGGGTCGTGATCCCTTTGGCGGTCAAATGACCCTTTCACAGGGGTCGCCTAAGACCATCCTGCATATCAGATATTTACATTATGATTCATAACAGTAGCAAAATTACAGTTATGAAGTAGCAACGAAAATAATTTTATGGTTGGGTCACAACATGAGGAACTGTATTTAAATGGCCAGAAGGTTGAGAACCACTGCAATAGGCCAAGGTTGTGGGTTTGACCCCAGTCAGGTAACATACAAGAAGCAACCAATGAATGCAGATATAAGTGGAATAACAAACTAATATTGTGCTCTCTCGCTCTCTCCTTCACTTCCTCTTCCTCTCTCTCTTAAAAAAAATCCATTAAAAAAATAAACTTGGCAAAGAAGAAAATTTCAATGAATTTATCTAGCTTTTCAAGTTTAAAAAAATTCCAAATTTAAACTGGTTTGTAGCCAACCATCATCTTAAGTTAAAGGCAGTGAAAAAAGTGAACTAATTAAAACCAGCCAAGTAAGGAACAATTTGACTAAAAATTGTTTCCTCTAATCATTAAACTCCTAATTTATGCCATTTTTACTACATTATTTATGGCATTTCATCAATTTAAAAACACACTTTTTTTCACATTCTAACATGCATACAGTCAGTACTGCATTTCATTTATAATTGCCAGGGATTATTGTTTTACTTTCCATTGAGTGGAACTTAAAGTGTGAGTGCATTTTACTATCAAGGGGTCTTTGATTCTATGAAATACAGTATTTCATTTACTGAAGATGGAAACTGTGCAACTTGTAATTAAATGTCTTTTTCTTTTTATAATGCTCATATCAAACCTCTGCGTAACAAGGGCGCTACATGTTCTGCCTCAGAAATACATGCTTGCATCGTTTGCTAGAGATTACAGTCATTTGTTTTTTTGAGAACAAATGCATCATTTTGAGACCAAAGAAGAGAAAGAAACTAGATTTAGAAAGAAAAATACAATAGACAGTGAGGAGAAACGAAACAATTTCATTTCCATAATTACATTCTTGCAAAACATCTTCATAGAACCCAGTGAATTTCGGCTAGAACTTGAGCTAATGTGATGGCAAGAGTCCTGGTTTCCAGCCCCCACCTGCTGCTGGGTAATCCCCTGGCGTTCCTGAGCCTCAGTCCTGAATATTAAACAAAGTGACGGCACCGGATGGTTGTTGAAATCGGTTCTATTTCTAGGAACCTCTGACAATTCTCATTTTAAGAAGAGTTATTTGCACAGACATGTCAATACAGCTCCTACCAGGGTTCACATACCCTGACTGCTGCTGGGGCCTCTTGTCTTACCTGTGTGGTCGGTGACTTGCTGAAAGTTTTCATCTACAGAGACACTGTAAGAAACAAAAGTATTGTGAATCAAACAGTGTGTGTAAATAAGTTAGACCAAATTGCTCTGTAATTAAATAGATGAGAGCAAATGCAGAGCTAGGCTTTATTACCAGAGGACGTTCGGGAAACCATGAGAAGCCAGGGGCTGAAGGAGTACCCCGTTTTATACTTTTAAACTGACACATAACTTGTGCAATAATAGAGTAACCTATCAAGCACACAGATAAGATGAAAATCCCTATAGGTCACCCCTCACCCCAGCAGGGTTACTCATTGTTTTCATGGATCTTTGCGAGATAAATGTACAAGGGCACAAACACACACTTACAAGGACCCAGAGTCCAGCCACCGCTGAATACTTTCTTGTTTGGAACCGTCTACAAATGAGAAAGAAACAGTCAGAGCACAGCCAGTTAAAAAGACTCTATTTCATCATTCAGCCACCACCCCGTAGCCCCACTTCCTACATATTTAGGTCCATGTTTCTATAAGCATATTCATGTTTTCTGTAATCATCCTTTCCTGGAAATGAAGGATGAACTTGCCAAAAACTGCAACTTAAAAAAAATAAAACCCAAAACATAAAAGGGGAAAAAAAGAAATCACCAAGAGCAAGAGATGTTGGAATCGTGCTGCAATTACCTGGCATGAATGCAAAGGGTGAACAAGCACATGAGACTTTTGTCTTTCTCTTGTTGGATGGAAATCACCCGGGAGCCCCTCCGGATTGAATCGGGACATTTACCTAAGGCAGCTAGCCAGGGATGTTTATTTGCAAGGCATTCTCTGCCAGGTTAGAAACCAAATTTGCATTCATTCCAGGGACAAATTGCACTAGAATCCCAGGATTGCCAAAGGCACCCTGTGTTAAAAAGGCACCAGCCTTTTAAGGTGGATCTTTATCCCCGCACAACAAAGGGTCACCAGGCAGAAAGGAGAGGATGCAAAGGCAGCGTTTCCTATTATGGGCTCCAGGCTACTCTGAGCTGACTTTCTTGGACTTGAAACCGTCAAAGAGGGAGCTGAATTACCCCCTCACAAGGTGTCTGGTGAACCAAAAAGGCCAGTGGGACAGGGAGGTGTTTATTCTTCAGTTGAGGTAGTGTGAACGGTGGTGAACAAAGAAGAAAAACCAGCCTGGCTGGTGTGGCTCAGTGGTTGAGCATCGACCTATGAACCAGGAGGTCATGGTTCGATTCCCAGTCAGGGCACAGGCCGGCTCGATCCCCAGTGGGGGTGTGTGCAGGAGGCAGCCTATCAATGATTCTCTCTCATCATTGATGTTTCTATCTTTCTCTTCCTCTCCCTTCTTCTCTGAAATCAATAAAAATATTTTAAAAAGAAAAACCATCAGTTACATTATAGTAGAGGCAGAAGTGTTTCCTTCCTTATTACTCTTTAAGCTGTTAAATGATTATTAATGCCTCATGTAAAACCCAGCAAATAAAAGCCTTTGGTTAAAATAAAGCCTCATGTCTCTGACACAGACTCCACACAGCTCTGGTGTTCTGGGGGGCTTAGTATGGAGGCACATTGGACTGGGAAAGAAGCCGAGTTCATTCTTTAGTTGGACTGTTTCCATCAAGGTCTTTGAGTGTCTGTAGGGGACGTCAGAAGTCCCCATTTCATAGAAGTTTCTGGCATCATGCCAGGAATGCTGGTATCTTCAAAGCCAAGTCCATGCTCTGAAATTATGTGCCCCCAGCCCAAAGCCCCCACATCCCTCACCACCCACAGAAGGGCAGTTTCAGACACCCCGAGGGCCGGTCCTCACCTAGCGAGGGCGTGGGGAGACTCTGGCCTTCCTCCTCAGAGCCTGGAGGCGGCTGCTCTTCCAGGGGAGCCCAGGCCCTCTTGGTGGACCGCAGGATGCCTCTCCGGCTCCTCTCCTGGCCTCCTCGAGGGCTGTCAGATCCATGTGACTTCTCCATCATCATCATTTGGCACACTGATCTCAAAGCAACACAAACCAGACACAATGGGTCAGCTTTTGGGCTTGGCTCAAGGAGAGGGCAAAGGCCAAGATGCTCACAGTCCAACGAGTAGACCCAGGTCACGATCTTTGGTAGCTTGGATCACCCACAAGCCAAGTTCTGTGTTTCAATGCAGAGAAATGGTCCCCTCTCAGTGGAGAGGCAGCTGGAGACCAGGGACTAATGTGGCCTCACCCATCACCAGGCCACATCCACACCCTCGTGGATTCAAGCTGGCTGTCAGGGATGTGGTCAGTGAGCAAAGAAGTTGGCCAAGTGGCTACACCCAGCCACAGAGGAAGCTTAAAGGCACTGATTAACATAATAGGCAGCCTTCAAATCTATCCAACTGTTATATCTTTAAAAAACATTTTTAAAGCCCTAGCTGGTTTGGCTCAGTGGATAGATCATTGACCTGTGGACCAAAGGGTTCTAGGTTCGATTCTGGTCAAGGGCACCTACCTTGGTTGCTGGCTCCTCCCTGGCCTGTGCCCTGGTTGGGGCTCCTGCAACAGGCAACCAATCGATGTATTGCTCTCACATTGATATTTCTATCTTTCCCTCTCTAAAAATCAATGGGAAAATATCCTCAAGTAAGAATTAACAAAAAAAGAAGAGCTGAAATATTAAAAAATAAATGAAGACTTTGGCAACAGATCAGCCTGGCCACTTGTTGTTTGGCCTTGTGTAAATAATATAACCCTTCTTCATTTCCTTAATTTTAATGGCGGATAAATGGTATGAATGTTAACAACTGTTAACCTCAGTGCAGTGCTTCTTATGTGCTAGATTCCATGCTGAGTTCTCTGCATATATTATTTAATCTAATTGTTAATGAAGGAATTTGTCACAATTTTATAGTAAATTGAAGAACAGAGAGGTTAAGTTGCAAATCCAAAGCCACACAGGCACCAGGATTCAAATCCAGGCCTTGAACTCCAAGCACGTTCCCAAGACTCTGAAGCTGTATTATCTACTCTAAAGGGTGTTTGGGACAATTCGAATACTGGTAAATATATTATGCACACGGCACAAGAGAGGTAGGCTGCTCCAATTACTTAATTTGACATTTATGAGGCTCGAACAGCAAGAGAAGGAGACAGAAGCTTAGAGCAGCTGTGGAAATTGTTTAAACTCCCGAGACTATCGGCATATTGAGAACAATGCCTCCCTCTAACCCACTGATGTGTCTGTAGTACATACATGGCTGAATTCTCAGCACATAGTAGGTGCTAAGTAAATATGTATAAAATCAAATAGCAAAGCTAGGGTTCAAAACCACTCTTTCTGACTAAATCCTTGCATGTCATCTACTTGAATTTGCATTAGATTATTCTTTAAGCTTAGAGAAATGACCAAGTAGTCAAATACCCACTTTAGCAGCATGTCTTGCATCCCTAAACTTAGGCATAACTCCTGATCACATGACTTGCAGACCACCATTTCTAATCAATGTTTCAACAAGGCACATCATTCAGGTTTATTGTAAGCATCTAAATATTCTAAGTATAGGTGAGCATTCTAGGTGAAACTGGCACTAAGAGTCTCCTTATATGTTTCATCTATTAAAATTCTATCATTCCTTGGGAGTATAAATATACCATTATTGTTGCAATAATAAATTACTGCAAAAATTAATGACAATTGTGATGACTATTCATTTTGTGTAAAAATAGCAATCATAGGAAATTTCAATTAGTTAAAAATTTGAGCAACAGGTGGACAGTTAATATATATACTAGCAGTGAGCATTTTAGCCATCAGAAAGTTAACTAGGAATATACTCTGGGGGAAGATAAGTGCTTATAAAAATTTCAATGATGATACAGGACAAAACTAACACAGATTAGATTATATTTCTAACCTTTATAGAATTGCTTGGTACACTAGAATTCATAACAGCAGACAAAAACAACCTTTAGAAACTGTGTTTAATTTTCAATTACTTAATTTTGCATAAGCTTCGGGTCTTTGGAGGAAAGACAGTTCTCTTTGGCAATGTCGTGCATCTTGTGCATGTGAATGATAATCAGAGCATCAACTCTGACAGTGCAAATGTCACCAGAAGGAAAAACTCCAAAATCACACTAAACAACATTCACAAAATATCAGATTCAATAGAGAATTGGGGTTTGAGTAAAGGTATAACACATCATGGAAAAATAAAACCCCAGAATAATCTTGCTCTTTCACTAGCCTGGGCTGGAAGTCAGCTCCTATGTAGGAGGAGAGATTTGCTCTGTAGTGGGAGCAGGAGCTGCCTAGCAGCTGACAGTCCTCAAATCACTGCTTCCGGACTAGCGTGTCAAATTTTAACCTGGCCACCACTTTTTTCAAATATAACACTAAAAACCATCAAAGGTTTAGATACAAGTGCAGCTTTATCGGTGGGTCCCCAGACTTGCGTTCCACAGTGGCGGATTTGTTCTCAGCCACTGGGCTTGCACGGCCATGAGGGTAGCTCCCTGCCAGCTCAGTTGGACTTGGCTTTTAGCAGGAAAAAGCCTGTGGGAAAAGCAGAAATTCTTGTTAAAGGCAAAGGTCAGGGGCCAGTTTGTAAAAAAACCCTCTTTGTTGCCTCTAACTCAGTGGGTGCCTTCACACTTGGTAAACAAGTCTGCTTCTGGAAACAGAGTCTCCGATGCTTGAATGCCCTTCCTCTGGCTTCCATGGCGTGACCCCAGAGCAGCCCTTTGGAAAGGGACACAGAGCAGGTGGCAGCCCAGAACTGCCCACGGACTGGCAGAGTGGACGTGATGGCACGTGGCCTCTGGTGATCCCTCTGGTTAACCGCTCTGTCCTCAGGACATTTGGAACCAAACGTGAATCCTCATCCTGGACCCTGCCCCCTGTGCAGCCCCTTCTCTCCAGATTATTTCTACCCTGATTACTACGTCATTAATCCTTATGTGTACAAAGAACTCCCATTAATGTGGGAAATTTCTTATCATATTTCATTAAAAAGAGAGAATGCAAAACTATATATGCACTAATAACAATTTTGTAAAAACAACAAAACCAACAAGCAATGTATTGAAAAGACATAAAAGCAATGTATTAAAACGTTATCAAGGTTCTGAAAATTTAAAAAGAATCAAAATGAGGAAGAATGGCTTTGTCACATTAATTTTACATCGTGTATGCTTTCACTTGAGTGAACTGAACCAACCACACTCCTTTTCACTGTGAAGCCTTCGGCCCACAGCGAAATCACAGAACTTGGTGCTTTGATGCTTAAAGCAGCGACGATGATTCCATTCCTGTCCTCTGGAGCTAACGTTTTGCACCTCTATGCAAACAGGTTGCCAATGAGGTTGTTCATACTGGAAAATAGGGGCAGTGCTTTCTATCTTTGTCGCCATGTCCCCATAGATCCCAGCACAGCTCTTTGCCCAGGGGGAAGAGTCTGTAACTATTAGTTGACTGCTTGGTTATTTGGGAGAGAAACATCCAGTTGTCGTAGCCAGTATTCTTGGTTTTTATGTGGTTAAAAGCACAAGTGCTTTCAGGTCAGGTAATTCCAGATTTTAATCTCAGCTCTGCTGCTTCCCTGACATCTCCTTGGGGAAATTTTCAAACATCTCTGATCATCTACTTCTTCATCTCTGTAATGAGTATGAAATAACCATTCCATAGGGTTTTGGGAAAATTTAATGAAAAATGTCTACAAAAGAATCAATGCCCATATTGGTCAATTTTCATTTCCCCCTTTCCCTCTCTTCTCTGTGTTGCCTCCTGTCATTGTAATGCCAAGAACTGTCAAGTAAAGGAGAAGAATCACCAATTAATGCAATAGTTTTTCTCATAGGAGATACATTTGACACTCTTAGTGTTTGGATAACCTGGGTATTTTGAGATCACTTAGTTTAGGTAATTGAGAAGTTGAAATATTTGGAGAATGTGAGAATAAGATATTTCTGCAACCATGAGGACACAGATTTCCCTGAGACGATTAGAGGCTCATATCAAAGTCTGGAAATTCCATCGACTATCAATTAAATTTCAAGGTGACAATGATAGGCTGAAGCTCTAGCCTGGCCACCACTTCTGAAGGACCCCTTGGTCAAGAAGAAAACAGCATAATGGAAGAACATCCCCAAGGCGTTCTGAGTCCATAGGGATCTCAGCACCTTTATGTCCCCACCGCAGATCCTCAGTGCCAAAGCCTCTGCTCAAGCCTTCATAAAATCTCAAACGGTGTCCAGCTTGCCTTGCCCCCCTCCATCCTCCATATACAGTGACTTCCCCAGGGGCAGGACGTAACAGAAGTCTGAATAGAGCCATGTGCTCCAGGAAGACCCACCCCCTTCCCCAGCTATAACACCACTCATAGAAGTTTTAAAAGGAAGCCTCCAGAACCCCTCCTGCTCTTGAAAAGATGATTACTATGAGCCCAATACCATTCATCTCCCTCCATAAACTAACTAAACAACGAGTCCTAAGAGACTTGATTCACACTTCTTACCTCAGGAGACCATAGGACTAACCCCATCATGCCCTACAGCCATGCTCATATGGCAGTGAACACTGCCTCAGCTGGTCCAGTATTCCCCCCTTCCCAGACTCTTCCAACCCCCGAGTCCTCTGGGATTCACATACTGTCACCTTCCAAATCCCTTTTCTCCTGAGCTCTTCACTGAACATCCCGTTACCGCCTTCCTCTAATTGAAACGTGGGCATCACTTCCTCTGTCACTCTCTCAAGATGTGGCTTTTTCTTTGATCGCCCATTGAATTGGGACCATAGTCTTAGAGACGGTATAAATTTCGTCCATGTCCATCATAGCTGCTTGCAGACGTTGTTCCCTTCATTCTCTGAAGCACATACATCAGACTATGTAGGCATCTGCATCTAGGACATTTGCCTCATTTACTGAAAATTATAAAATGGTTTTTCTGTTATCTTTCTGGAAGATTTAATTATCCATCTAGATGACCCAACAATATCTAACTTCTCAGTTCAATAATCTGCCCACTTCCA